TGATTTTTTTCAGTACACAATCAGATATATCTGAATCTCTTTTCCCCACATAGATCACTGGGAACACTTGGTTCTCTGGCCATGAAGCTTACTATTTTTTTGTCATTAACACACTCCCATTCCAATATAACTTTTCTTTTTCCGAGTGGAAATTTCTGAGTTCTAATGGGTCGTCAGCTTACTCATTTTCGTAAGCTATTTTATTTATTCAATAAGCACTTTTGTATTTTGCTTCACACCGCACGAAACAAGTGTTCCTCATTTCTGATCATTTTTATTATTTTTCTTCATTTTTTGTTTAAAAAACTAAAATACTTCCAAGATAAAATGAAACACTTCTCCCACTGTTTTGTTCCTAAATGCTAAAGTATTAAATCAAGTAAAGCAAAAGTAAGTTCTGGCTGTGTCTTTGCCAAGCCATCTTCTCTGGAGGTAGCAAATGGGATGCTCACATCCCCCTGATGGAAATAGGTACCATTTTGCAAGTGTTGTGGTCTGCAGAATTTGGAAAATTCTCCCTGGTTCAACAGTAGCTTGGTTTGGACTAGCACTTACCTCTTTAATATTCAGGCTTCTGTTTACCCTCAAGAATAACTATTTTACCTTTATTAGGAAGAAAATTCTTTCTGAATATGTGTGTTAGGGCTAAGCACGCAGCAGAAACCAATTCTGGCTGAGTCAAGCAGAAAGGATTTTAAGAGGCCAGAAAAGGAGCTTGTTTAAAAGTTGTGATTTGAAGACAGACATTTACCTCTGCTGCTTCCTAACACCTCTGAAAATGACAATGAAGAACATTAAAAATGACATAAACCCATGATTAAAGAGACTAAGAGAGGTAACAACAGTAACAAAATTTTGGAAGACAGAAAGGAGGCAAAGTAACATATTTAGCATCTGGAAAAAGTTGAATCCTAAGCTGGAAAACTGACTTGCACTGAAGAAACTTGTTGATTCCACTTGGTGTTTCTCTGAGGTAAGGCTGAAACAGGGAGATTTGTAGATATAAGAAGCAGTTAGGTCCTAATATTTTCCCCAGCTCCACATGGCCAGGGAAATATGCCCCTTCCTGCTTCAGCAGAAGATTGGAGGTTACTCTCCTGAGGGAGCAAAGCAGAGTGCATTTGTCAGAACAAAGTCAGGCTGCCGTGACAGAGCTGAGAATGATTCAGTGGCTTAAAGGAGCTACCGGTTTATTTCTTCTTATGAAACAGAGTTTTCAATTGGCTTTTGGGGGTAGCAGTTTAATTGAGATATAATTCACATGTCACTCAAGTCACCACTTTAATGGGTACCATTCAGTGGTTTTTGGTATATTCAATGAGTTGTGCAACCATCACCAAAATCAATTTTAGAACATTTAATCACCTTCCCAAAACATCCCACATCCCTTTGTAGTCATTCTTCTCCCCCAGTTCCTTTCCTCTAGCCCTAGCCCACGGTGAATCTACTTTCTGTCTCTATAAATTTGCCTGTGCTGGATTTCATATAAATAGAATTATGTTTTAAAAGTTCATCCATGTTGTAATAAGTATCAGTACTTCAGTTCTTTTTATTGCAGAATACTACTCCATCGTATGACTATATCACATTTTTTTAAACTAAAAAACTTTTTTTAAATTTTATTGAAGTATAGTTGATTTACAATGTGTTAATTTCTGCTTTACAGCAAAGTGACTCAATTATACATACATATATATTTCTTTTTCATATTCTTTTCCATTATGGTTTATCACGGAATATTGAATATGGTTCCCTGTACTATGCAGTAGGACCTTGTTGTTTATCCATCCTATATGATAGTTTGCATCTGCTAATCACAAACTCGAATCCTTCCCTCTCCCCCCACCCTTGGCAACCACAAGTTTGTTCTCTGTTTCTGTGAGTCTGTTTCTGTTTTGTAGATAAGTTCATTTGTGTCGTCTTTTAGATTCCACATGTAAGTGATATCATATGGTATTTGTCTTTCTCTTTCTCTTTCTGACTTACTTCACTAGTGTGATAAACTCTAGGTCCAAGCATGTTGCTGCAAATGGCATATTTTTATTCTTTTTAATGGCTGAGAAATATTCCATTGTATATATATGCCACATCTTCTTTATCCATTCATCTGTCAATGGACATTTTTGTTTCCATGTCTTGGCTATTGTAAATAGTGCTGCTATGAACATAGGGGTGCATGTATCTTTTCACATTATAGATTTGTCTGGGTATATGCCCAGGAGTGGGATTGTTGGCTCATATGGCAACTCTATTTTCAGTTTTTTGAGGAACCTCCATACTGTTTTCCCTAATGACTGCACCAATTTATGTTCCCACCAACAGTGTAGGAGGGTTCCCTTTTCTCCACACCCTTTCCAGCATTTATTATTTGTAGACTTTTTAATGATGGCCACTCTGACTGGTGTGAGGTGGAACCTCATAGTTTTGATTTGCATTTCTCTAATAATTAGCAATGATGAGCATCTTTTCATGTGCTTATAGGCCATCTGTATGTCTTCTTTGGAGAAGTATCTATTTAGGTCTTCTGCCCATTTTTCGATTGGGTTGGTTGTTTTTTTGTTATTGAATTCTATGAGCTGTTTGTATATTTTGGAAATTAAGCCCTAATCAGTTGCATTGTTTGCAAATAGTTTCTCCCAGTCTGTAGGTTGTCTTTTCATTTTGTTTATGGTTTCCTTTGCTGTGCAAAAGCTTATAAGCTTGATTAAGTCCCATTTATTTATTTTTGCTTTTATTTCTATTGCTTTGGGAGACTGACCTAAGAAAATATTGGTACGATTTATGTCAGAGAATGTTTTGCCTATATTCTCTTCTAGCAGTTTTATGGTGTCTTGTCTTATATTTACATCTTTAAGCCATTCTGAGTTTATTTTTGTGTACAGTGTGAGGGTGTGTTCTAACTTCATTGATTTACATGCAGCTGTCCAAGTTTCTCAACACCACTTGCTGAAGACACTGTCTTTTCCCCATTGTATATACTTGCCTCCTTTGTCGAAGATGAATTATTCATAGGTATATGGGTTTATTTCTGGGCTCTCTGTTCTGTTCCATTGATCTATGTCTGCTTTTGTGCCAGTACCATGATGTTATGATTAGTGTAGCTTTGTGGTATTGTCTGAAGTCTGGGAGGGTTATGCCTCCCGCATTGTTCTTTTTCCTCAGGATTATTTAGGCAATTCTGGATCTTTTACATTTCCATATAAATTTTAGGATTATCTGTTCTAGTTCTAAAGAAATATCATGGGTAATTTGATAGGGATTGCATTAAACCTGTAAATTTCTTTGGGTAGTATGGCCATTTTAACAATATTAATTCTTCCAATCCAAGAGCATGGGATATCTTTCCATTTCTTTGAATCATCTTCAGTTTCCTTTATTAATGTTTTGTAGTTCTCAGCATATAAGTCTTTCACCTCATGGTGAGGTTTATTCCTAAGTTTTTTTTAATATAATTTTTATTTTATATTAGATTATAGTTGATTTACAGTGTTGTGTTAGTTTCAGATGTGTACAGCAAACTGATTCAGTTATATATATATATCCATTTTTTTTTCAGATTCTTTCCCATATAGGTTGTTACAGATTATTGAGCAGAGTTCCCTGTGCTATACAGTAGGCCCTTGTTGATTATCTATTTTATATATAGTAGTGTGTATATGTTAATCCCAAACTCCTAATTTATCCTTTCCCCCACCTTTCATCTTTGATAACCACAAGTTTGTTTCTGAAGTCTGAGAGTCTGGTTTGTAAATAAGTTCATTTGTATCATCTTTTTAGATTCCTCATATATGTGATATCATATGACATTTGTCTTTCTCTGTCTGACTTACTTCACTTAGTATGATAATCTCTAGGTCCATCCATGTAGCTGCAAATGGCATTATTTCATTCTTTTTTTTATGTCTGAGTATGATTCCATTGTATATATGTACCACATCTTCTTTATCCATTCCTCTGTTGATGGACATTTAGGTTGCTTCCATGTCCTGGCTATTGTAAATAGTGCTGCAATGAACATTGGGGTGCATGTATCTTTTCGACTTACGGTTTTCTCTGGATATATGTACAGGAGTAAGATTGCTGGATCATATGGTAGTTCTATGTTTAGTTTTTTAAGGAACCTACATACTGTTTTCCATAATAGTTGTACCAATTTACATTCCCACTAACAGTGTAGGAGGGTTCCCATTTCTCAACACCCTCTCCGGCATTTATTATTTGTAGACTTTTTAATGATGGCCATTCTGACAGGTGTGAGGTGATACCTCGTTGTGTTTTTTAAAAATTTTATTTATTTATTTTTGGCCACGTTGGGTCTTCATTGCTGCATGCAAGCTGTCTCTAGTTGTGGCAAGTGGGGGCTACTCTTCGTTGCATTGCACATGCTTCTCATTGCAGTGGCTTCTCTTGTTGCGGAGCACAGCCTCTAGGTGCGTAGGCTCAGTAGTTGTGGCTCATGGGCTCTAGAGCGCAGGCTCAGTAGTTGTGGTGTATGGGCTTAGTCGCTCCACAGCACGTGGGATCTTCCTGGACCAGGGATCAAACCCATGTCCTCTGCATTGGCAGGCGGATTCTTAACCACTGAACCACCTGGGAAATCCCCCTCATTGTGGTTTTGATTTGCATGTCTCTAATAATTAACGATATTGAGCATCTTTTCATGTGCTTTACAGCCATCTGTATGTCTTCTTTGGAGAAATATCTATTTAGACCTTCAGCCCATTTTTTGATTGGCTTGGGTTTTTTTTTTTAACATAGAGCTGCAGGAACTGTTTGTATATTTTGGAGATTAATCCCTTGTCAGTAGCATCATTTGCAAATATTTTCTCCTATTCTGTGGATTGTCTTTTCGTCTTGTTTATGGGTTCCTTTGCTTTGCAAAAGCTTTTAAGTTTCATTAGGTTCCATTTGTTTATTTTTGTTTTTATTTTCATTACTATAGGAGGTGGAACCAAAAAGATACTGCTGCAATTTATGTCAAAGAGTGTTTTCCTCTAAGAGTGTTATGGTATCTGGTCTTACATTTAGGCCTTTAATCCATTTTGAGTTTATTTTTATTTTTTATTTTTTTTGGAGCCTAGTGGTTTATTTATTGTAAAGTTCAAACTGAGAGCTGTGATTCACCACATCAATTTAAAATAAATAACTTATATGAAATACAGATTCTGGCATAGATATAAGATGTTAAAATCAAAATCAATGGACTGAACCGGCATCTTTCATTTGCTCACAAATTTGAACAGACTAATATTCTGCAAAAAAGACAATTGCAGCAGGGGAAAAGAAAACTGCTCTTTTGCAAATAAGACTTAAGCATCCCTCCAAAGAGGTCAAAATAAACATGCATATATAGATATAAAGTGTTACAACACAAAAGCTATTTCTAGAAATAATTTAACTGCATAGGTTAAAAACAACAATGTGCAACATCTTAAGGCATTAAAGCACCGAAAAAAAACCCCCACCAAAACCACTTTTTATGACGATTGACATACACAAAACACATATACTGATCAAAACTCAGGAAGTAAATACCTGGACTGATATAACATCCATTGTTGGGAGAATTTCTCTTCAATTTAAATGTCTCTTCTCATCTCTAAAACAATTTTAAAGTGCTAACTTTACATAAAGCAGGCAAATTCTTCAAGTAATTTGCTATTTAAGTATGCTAATTTTTACAGAGCTAAACAAGGAACTAAGAATAAACTAACGTGAAACAGGAAGATAGACATGAGGAAAAAACTCACAAATTATAGCTGAACAAATCGATAGAATGCTCTAATACCACCTTGGCCTTCTGGGTTCAATTAAAAGCAAAAGCTAATAGATTTAGATGTCTGCTGGTTTATTACACTAACTCCCTTGGATTTGCTAAAATTTGTACATCATTAGGTACACGGATTCCTAAGGAAAAGAATGCCACTTAAAAATCAAGATTGGATACTAATTAAAGCAATTTTAAAAACAAAAGGTTGTCCATTACTACAAATGAATACAAAATGTCACAGACCTTACAAACTAAGAACTGAAGCCTTGCCCAAAGTTTATTTACTTCTGCCCTTGAGCTGCCTCTTCAAGAAAGTGTACATTAACCAAATGGCGATTGAGGTGTTTGCTGTAATCTTCTTCCTTTCTAAAAGAACGATCACAGAAGATACAAACAAAATCTCCCTCGGCCACTTTGACTGCCAAGGCTTCCTTTCCATTTTTTCTACTAGTCTCTTGTGGAACTGGCCGAGCCCCATTCAATCCAGAGTCATCACTATCCTCTGACATGTTGTCACTTAGGTCACTTCCATCATGACTGTGGATGCCTTCGTCTTCATCCATTTCCTGAGACTCATTTACTGTCACGGTGACAGGAGGTGATGCCACAGTAGCTGTGGACACTGCTTCACATTTTTCTAGCGGTAGAGGAAGAAGTGGTGGTGAAGTTGGTTCTTCAACCGCCGAGTCTCTGCCGGGGGGATTCTCTGTTTTCTTCTCATCAGCGTCCATCTTCATTTCACAAAGCATAGCGTCAGCCTGATGTTTACCATCTGAAGTTTCACCCTCTGGCATATTCAAGTTTTGTTCAGAGGATGAAATACTGGCAGATGCCTTGGTAACAGCAGCAAGACCAGCTAGACTCTTATCTGCTTCTTCTGCTTCCACTCTTTGAAGAGGAGCTTCTTTATGTCCTTCGCCTGCAGGGACTAATTTTTGGTCTTCTGACTCTTCCTCTTTTAAGTCTTCCTTTGGCAGAGGTGGTGATGGTGGTAAGAGATCCTGTGCACCGGCACTTTCCTTTAGAAGCTGCCTGTCTTTAACAGGCACTAAGCCAACTTCAATAAGGACTTGCTCCTTCTGCACCATTTCACTCTGCATGTTGGACTTTTCCTTGCCATTATCTGGCTCCACAGGAGGAGGAGGCTCCGCATGAACAGGCCCCTTCTGAACAACCTTGACCTCAGCATGCCCCCCCCGGGGGGAAGAGGTGGAGGAGGAGATGGGGGGGAGGGGGAGGAGGAGGCGGCCGCTCCGTCTGAACAACCTCGACCTCAGCATGCTGCTCGGGGGCAAGGGGAGGAGGAGGAGGTGGGGGGCGGGCAGCAGGAGGAGGCTCCGTCTGAACAGGGCCCCCCTCAGCAGACTCCATGGGAGGAGGAGGCTCTATCTGAGTGGGCCTCCTCTGAGCAGGCTTGCCGCTTTTTTTACATGATTTACTTCTCAGAGTTTTCTTCTTTGCACTGTTTTTCATGCAACTACTTTGCTTTTTATTCTCTTGTACTTTGCTGTCACCCTTCGGCACTTGCTGACTATTTCTGGATTTGCTTTCTGCCTTCTTTTTCTTTTTTGTCACAGGTTCCTCATCATTCACAGGTTCTTGTAAGGAACGGGCTTCAGCTTCTGTCTTCCTTTTGCTTTTCTTGCTTTTACAGCTTTTTTCTCATTATTTCCTGGGTGCACATCCATCTTTTCAGCTTCCAGTGCCGATTTGCGAGTTCTGGTAGTCACTTGGCTTGAGGCATTACTACAAGGCTTTTTCTCTTTTGAAACATTATCTTTTTTCTCCACTTTTACAGACCTCTCGTTTTTCTTCCCAGTCACATCCCCCTTCATTTTTGTCTGCTCTGTTTCTGTTTTCTCATTGGTGATTTTGTTATCAGGCAAGTCAGCCTCTCGCTTTTTGGTTTTCTTTAGCTTCACTTTTGAGACATCCATGGTCTTATTAGGACAAGTAGGATGCTTAGATTTGAAATGATACTGCAGATTACACTTCTTGGAAGCTGCGCGGTCGCATACAGGGCAGTTGAACTGCCGTGGATTAACATGTAGCTCCACGTGTTTTTTGAAGTTACTTCTATCTGCTGTTTTGTAGTCACAGTGTGGGCAGTGAAGAGGTTTAGGCCCATTGTGAACCTGTCTTGTGTGACGGGTTACTTCATGTTGATTAGAGGCCACATAACTGCACTGGTCACACTTAAATGGCTTCTCACCTGAATGAGTACGCATATGTCTGGTTAGATGAGTTTTCTGAGAACTTGAATAAGGACAAAGCTCACATTTATACGGACGTTCTCCTGTATGAGTTCGAACATGCTGAACATAATTGTTTTTTCTGTCTGAAAAATAGTTGCATTTTCCACATGTGTATACTTTCCTTGGAAAATGGTTTCTCAAGTGTTTCCTCCAGTGATATTCGCTTACTGTGGTGTACGTGCAAATGATGCCCTTGTAGACTCGCTCATTGTCCCCGGCTCGGGTGTGGTGTTTCAGGTGAGCAGTATAGTGATCATAGCGATTGGTATTGTAGCCGCAGCTGTCACAGCGAATGGGGCCCTTAGAGAAATCTCCCTCTTCCCCAGTGGAAGAGCCACATTCCCTGGCTTTGGCTTGCTTCTCTGCACTTTCCTCCACAAAAAATTTCTTGGCACTATGAACTCGGATGTGATGCACAAACTGTTCTTCAGATTCTGCTTCATACTGGCACGGTTTACAGCGAAAGGGCTTGGTCTTCAAGTTCTTGCATTTGTCCTCTGCTACAGGTGTTTCCCGAGGAAGATCTTTATTTGAGCTGTACGGTTCTGAGGCAGCTGACACCTCAAACACAGGCTGCGGTTGCACAACACTGAGTTCCAAACCTCTCCAGTTCCATGTTTTCCAGCCCACTGGGCTCGCCTTTTACCCCAGGAGACTCCTCAAGTCCTTCTCCATCACTATCTGAAAAGTCGTTATCCCCAACAGGCATCAATTCTGCCATCTGTCTTTCTTCGCCAACCAGGTAATCACAGCAGCCGCCGTTTACTTCCCCAGTTAAGGCCACATTTGCCAACATGATGAGCTGAGGCGCAGCCAGTTCAGCTCTGGTGAGATCAGGCAAGTCATACATGTCGTTAGGCAAGGCCATGCCCATGGTGCCACTGCCGGTGAACAGACCTCCTCCTCCAGAAGACTGCCCCATTACCTGGGTGGCCATAACGGTGTTCAAACACAAAGCAGCTCTTTGCAAACTCGGGAGCTCTCGCTTCCTCTCGGCTCGGCCCGCTCACTGCACCACTGACACACCAGTTGCCGCCACACTCGTCCTGAACCTTTCCCTGGGCGGCCTTCCTGGGCGAGGAGGGGCGAAGACCCGCGTCGCCGCTCCTTCTCGGACTACTTTTCTTTGTTGCTGGAGTTTCGGGGGAGGGGAGGGAGAGGGAGGAAAAGTTGGACGCTGGGGCAGTCGAGGCCCGCGAAGACCCAGGAGGGGGGCTGCAGAGAATGTTCAGGCCTCCGGCTCTCGCCCTACCGTCCTGGCCGCCGCCGCCGCCTGGGGCCCCGGACCTCGGCGGCGCTTGCTCTGCTCCTGCGCCGTGAGCTCTCGGGAGCCGCACATTCCAGCATAGAAGGCCGCCGCCGCCACCCCCCGGGACACGCCCTCCCCCCATTTTGAGTTTATTTTTGTGTATGGCGTTAGAGAATGTTCTAGTTTCATTCTTTTACATGTAGCTGTCCAGTTTTCCCAGCCCCATTTATTGAAGAGACTGTCTTTTCTCCATTGTATATTCTTGCCTCCTTTTTGTAAATTAATTGACCATAGGAGTGTGGCTTTATTTCTGGGCTTTCTATCCTGTTCCATTGATCTATATGTCTGTTTTTATGCCAGTACCATACTGTTTTGATGATTGTAGCTTTGTAGTATAGTCTGAAGTCAGGGAGCCTGATTCCTCTAGCTCCATTTTTCTTTCTCCAGATTGCTTTGTCTATTCAGGGTCTTTAGTGTTTCCATACATATTTAAAATTTTTTGGTTCTAGTTCTGTGGAAAATGCCACTGGTAATTTAAAACAGATTGCATTCAATCTGTAGATTGCCTTGGGTAGTATAGTCTTTTTGACGATATTGATATGGTATATTTTTCCATCTGTTTGTGTCATCTTCAGTTTCTTTCATCAACATCTTATAGTTTTCTGAATATAAGTCTTTTACCTCCTTAGGTAGATTTATTCCTAGTTATTTTATTTTTTTGATGCAGTGGTAAATGGGATCATTTCCTTAATTTCTCTCTCTGATCTTTCATTGTTAGTGTATAGAAATGCAAGAGATTTCTGTGTGTTAATTTTGTATAGTGCAACTTGATGCAGTTTTTTTTTTTTTTTTTTTTTTTTGCGGTATGCAGGCCTCTCACTGTTGTGGCTTCTCCTGTTGTGGAGCACAGGCTCCCACGTGCAGGCCCAGCGGCCATGGCTCACGGGCCCAGCCGCTCCGCGGCATGTGGGATCCTCCCGGACTGGGGCACAAACCCGTGTCCCCTGCATCGGCAGGTGGACTCTCAACCACTGCGCCACCAGGGAAGCCCTTGATGCAGTTTTGAAAGGGATTGTTTACATTCCCTTTCTGATATTTCATTGTTAGTGTAAAGAAACTCAACCAATTTCTGTATGTTAATAGTCATTGTTGTATCCTGCTACCTTACTGAATTTGATCAGTTCTAGCAGTTTTTGTGTGGAATCTTTAGGGTTTGCTTTATATAGTGTCATGTCATCTGCATATAATGACAATTTTACCTCTTCCCTACCAATTTGAATACCTTTTATTTCTTTTTCTTGTCTGATTGGTGTGACTAGGACTTCCAATACTGTGTTGAAGAGAAGTGATAAGAGTGGGCATCCTTGTCTTGTTCTAGATTCAGCAGGAAGGCTTTCAGCTTTTCACTGTGTATTATATTGGCTGTGGGTTTGTCATGGATAGCTTTTGTTATGCTGAGATATGTTCCCTCTATACCCATTTTCATAGGGGTTTTTATCATGAATGGATGTTGAATTTTATCAAATGCTTGTGCTGCATCTGAGATGATCATGTGGTTTTTGTCCTTTCTTTGGTTGTTGTGGTGTATTACATTGATTGATTTGAGTATGATGAACCATCCTTATGACCCTGGGATGATTCCAACGTGGTCATGGTGTATGATCTTTTTTATGTGTTGTTGAATTCAGTTTGCTAATATTTTGTTGAGAGTTTTTGCATCTGTATTCAGCAAAGATATTGAACTGTAATTTTCTTTTTTGGTAGTGTCTTTGGGTTGTTTTTTTTTTTTAATTTTAAAAATATTTATTTATTTTTGGCTGTGTTGAGTATTTGTTGTTGTGCGCAGGCCTTCTCTAGCTGCGGCAAGCAGGGGCTACTCTTTGTTGTGGTGAGCAGCCTTCTCATTGCTGTGGCTTCTCTTGTTGCAGAGCACAGGCTCTAGGCACGCGGGCTTCATTATCTGTGGTGCACGGGCTCAGTAGTTGTGGCTCGCGGGCTCTAGAGTGCAGGCTCAGTAATTGTGGCACATGGGCTTAGTTGCTCCGTGGCATGTGGGCACTTCCCGGACCAGGGATTCAACCTGTGTCCCCTGCATTGGTAGGCAGATTCTTAACCACTGAATCACCAGGGAAGTCCCTCTTTGTCTGGTTTTGGTATCAGGGTGATGGTGGCTTCATAGAATGTCTTTGAGAGTGTTCCTTCCTCTTCAATCTTTTGGAAGAGTCTGAGAAAGATGGGTGTAAGTTCTTCTTGGTATGTTTGGTAGAATTTACCTGTGAAGCTATCTGGTCCTGGAATTTTGTTTGTAGGGATTTTTTAAAATTGCGTCTTCTATTTCACTTCTAGTGATCAGTCTATTCAAGTTATCTCTTTCTTCTTGATTCTATTTTAGTGGGCTGTGTGTTTCTAGAAAGTTGTCAATTTCTTCTAGATTGTCAAATTTGTTGGCATATAATTGCTCAGAATATTCTCTTATGGTTTTTTTTTTTTATTTCTTCAGTATCAGTTGTAATTTCTCCTCTTTCATTTCTTACTTTGTTTATTTAGGTCTTCTCTCTTTTCTTTTTGGTGAACTTGGCCAGAGTTTTGTCAATTTTGCTTACCCTTTCAAAGAACCAACTCTTGATTTTATTGATTTTTTTCTATTTTTAAAAAATCTCTATTTTATTTATTTCCTCCCTGTTCTTTATTATCTCCTTCCTTCTGCTGACTTTAGGTTTTTCTCGTTCTTTTAGGTAGTGGGTTAGGTTGTTTATTTGAGGTTTTTCTTGTTTCTTAAAGAAGGCCTGTATTGCTATGCACTTCCCTCTAAGAACTGCTTTTGCTGCATCTCATAGAATTTGTATTGTTGTGTTTTCATTGTCATTTCCCTCAATGTATTTTTAAATTTCTTCTTTGATTTCATCTTTGACCCCCTGGATTTTTTAGTATTGTGTTGTTTAGGCTCCATATAATTATTTTTCTTCTCACTTCTTTTTCTGTGGTTGATTTCTAGTTTCATGCCATTGTAGTCAGAAAAGATGGCTGAAATCATTTCTATTCTCTTACATTTGTTGAGGCTTGTTTTGTGCTCTAGTACGTGGTTAGTCCTAGAGAATATTCCATGTGCACTTGAAAAGAATGTACATTCTGCTTTTTGGGGGATGTAATGTCCTGAAAATATCAATTAGGTCTAACAGTTCTATCATTTACTATCTCTGTTGCATTAGGATCTCGTTTCGAAGATCTGTCCATTGATATGAGTGGAGTGTGAAAGTCTCCTACTGTTATTGTATTTCTGTCAGTTTCTCCTTTTATGTCTGTCAGTATTTGTTTTATGTATTTGGTTGCTCCTATATTGGGTGCATATGTGTTGACAAGTGTAATATCTTCTCCTTGTATTGATCCTTTTATCATTATATAATGTCCTTCTTTATCTTTCTTTATAGCCTTTGTTTTAAAGTCTGTTTTGTCTGATGAGTATTGCCACCTCTGCTTTCTTATGATTTCCATTTGCATGAAATATCTTTTTCCATCCCCTCACTTTCAATCTATGTGTGTCCTTTGCCCTATAGTGGGTCTCTTGTAGGCAGCATGTTGTAGGCTCTTGTGTTTTTTAATCCAATCTGCTGCTCTGTGTCTTTGATTGGAGCATTTAGTCCATTGACATTTAAGGTAATTATTGACAGATATGTATTTATTGCCATTTTAAACTTTGTTTTCCCATTGATTTTATATTTCTTCTTTGTACCTTTTTCTGTTTTTCCTTTTGTGGTTTGATGATTTTCTTTTGTATTATGCTTATGTTGTCTTCTTTTTGGTTTTTGTGTATCTATTGTATGTTTTTTATTTGTGGTTGCCCTCTTTTTCAAGTATGTTAACCCCTTTCTATATCTACTTTCTTTAGACTGGTAGTCATATTTCTATAAGCTCAAACATATTCTAGAAAAAAATCTACATTTTTTTTACTCTCCTCCCCCACATTTTATTATTTTGATGTTTTCTTTTACATCTTCATGTTCATCCTTTTGCTGTTCATTGTAGTTACCATTGCTTCCACAGAATTTTTTTTATTTTTTGAAAAATCTGTGCACTGGATTATTTAAGTGATTTAGTTTCCAAATGTTATTTTCTCTTTCTTATAGATTCATACTTCTTTTATATTTAGAGAAGACCTTTCAATATTTCCTTTAGGATAGATTTAGTATTGCTGTATTCTTTTAGTTTGTGCTTGTCTGAGAAATTTTTTATGGCTCCTTCTATTCTAAATGATAATCTTTCTGGGTAGAGTATCCTAGGTTGCAGATTTTTCCATTTCAGGACTTTGAATATATCTTGCCACTCCCTTCTGGCCTGCAACCTTTCTGTAAAGGAATCAGCTGATAGCCTTATGGGGGTTCCCTTGTAATGAACTCTTTGTTTTTCTCCTGCTGCCTTTAGAATCTTCTCTTTAACTTTTGCCATTGTAATTAAAATATGTCTTGGTTTAGTTTTGTTTGGATATCTTGTTTGGAACCCTCTGTGTTTCCTATACCTGGATATCTGTTTCCCTCTTTAGGTTTGGGAAGTTTTCAGCCATAATTTCTTCAAATACATTTTCAATCCCCTTTTCTCTTTCTTCTCCTTCTGGGATCCCTATTATGTGCACATTGTCATGCTTTATATTATCCCATAGGTCTCTTATATTGCTTTCATTTTTTTTCCATCTGAGTTTCTGTGTGCTCTTCTAATTTGGTGATTTCCATTATTCTATCTTCCAGATCACTTATTTGTTCTTCTGCATTATTCATTCTGATATTCATTGCCTTTAATTCAGCTTTTGTCTCTGCAATTGAGTTTTCTAATTTTTCTTGGCTCTTCTTTATAGTTTTTAGTTCCTTTTTACAGTTATCTACATTTCTGTTGATAGCTTTTCTTAATTCCTTGAGTATTTTCATTATCTCTTTTCAACTCAGTGTCTATTAGACTGAAAAGGTCTGTTTCATATTTGTTCTTTCAGGGAAATTCTCTTGATCTTTTAATTGGGAGTGGTTCCTCTGCTTCTTCATTTTACTTATATTTCTCTTGCTCTGGGAGTTTAGGAGAAACAATTATCTATTGTGGTCTTAGAGGGCTATTTTTATGTGGGAGTGTTCCTGTATAGCTTGCGTGGGTTTAATATTT